AGAAATTAGCTCAAGCAGTTCAAGAACTAAATAATACAAAACTGATCTAAAGCTGTAAGAAAAATAATTGCCAGTTGGAGCCATTCCAGCACCTTGGTGATAGCCCAACACCACGTACCAAAGCAGGACCCTTGTGCCTGCACCTGCACGGCCTCAGCAGGTGGATGCTGACTCACGGCATGAATGCTGAGGCTATCCATGGTACGGGTGGGTATTCCATCAGCTGCAGGGTTTAAATTATCCATTCACATCCTTCAGAGTACGTACATAGGTTAATGATGCGACCGGGTCAAAACATACCTAAGCACACAGCCTTCAGAGGGCAGCTGCCTCAGAGCAGGTCCAGCATCAGTGAAACGAGTCCTCAGTGGTACAGAAAAAAACATCTGAAAGGAGCAACAGCAGAGAACCCGAATTCTGACTTTCCAGCATGATGTCTAAGAAGCCAAGGCCTTGTTGCTGCTCCTACCCTCTGCCATTTCCTACTTTGCAGTCTGGGTGACCCAGTAATCTTTCCCAGTCTTAAACAGTGATGATAACATTTTTAATATAGAAGAAAATATGAAATGTACTGAACCACATACACCAGTTTGCCATAAGTGTTAGCAGTAGGAGATATGAGATGAAGACAACTTTCTCCACAGCAATCAACCTTGTACTAATTCAGTATTAAAGGAGGATTTTTGAGAGGGTGAGCAGATCCTAACCCTCCAAACAGAGCCCTGTGAGCCAAAGGGCTTGGTTTGGGCTTGTGCTAATTAGCAAATACACCCCAAAGATATCAGAAATTGCACTTGTTTCTAAAAAAAAACCAAAAAAAAACCCAAAACAAAACAAAATAAGGGGGCAAAGTTAGGAATCAGAAGGAAACTTCAGCTCCCACTCCCTGTTCTCCTTGGGGTAGCAAGTCTTTCATGCCATAGCTCCCACATAATGCAAAAGCAGGCAGCAGGAACCAAACACAAGCATCAACATCTCGTAACACTTTGCACAGAAGGAACTGCTGGACCAAGCAGTTCTACTCCATCAAGAAAAAGCAGGAAGAACATCTAATTTAGGCCATTTGCAAAGGGAAGCTGGCATCAGGTGCAGCTTGTCACATACCCGAGAAGGAGCAGCTGATTTCATCTGCAACTTGGAAACTATTAAGTTTGTTTGCTGCTCCCCCTTGCAACATGACAAAGGAAAGCTCACTGCCACGTGCTGACATTTATATAAAGTCTGAAAAGAGCATGTGTCATTAAATCCAAGACACTTTTGACGTGGAGCTCTCCTGAGACCAACAGCTGCTCCATTTGCTCCCTCCAGCTTTGCCCCAGGCTCTGCAAGGACCACTGCTGGGTAATTAACACCGGAGCAGGAGCATCGTTTCTGCCCCAACAAACTCAGTGAGCAGAGGATGGCCCAGGCTAATCACTCCAGTCCCCATCACCCTTCAGTCTCCCAACACAGCAATGGGAAGCCAAGACGTGCACAAAGAACAGCGATAAGGCTAACAGCTCAGATGGTCAGGCAAGTCATTTTGGGAGCATCACATCCATCTTCTCCAAGGACAAAAAAAATAAAGAGGAGCAGGTGTGAGGCTACAGACCTGCAGGACTCTGAGCAGCCCAACTGGCTCCCAATGTGCTGTGCCACCTGAAAAAAGAGGGTGCAATAGCTCATTGCAGGCTGTATTTAAACCAGGAGCACTGAATTACAGCAACTCTTGGAGCATCAGTACTGCTTCTAACCTGAGAAGACCAAGGCACCAGGCAAACCAAAGAACGTGGTCATGAGACACGTGGAAGACTGGCAATGAAACGCTTTAGGGAATTAGATAATTTAGCGATGAGCTGCAAACACTTTTAACCAGTTTGGAAATAAAAAATTACAATAATTCGAAAGACGAATGGAAAAATTCTTCCTAGGAAAGGAGCACACAGCATGAGATCACAGGATTCAGCAGACTATAAAATAGGAAATGAGACTTACTCTTCTCCCCCTACAGCTACACAAAACCCTCCTACATAGATTACAGACGTGCTTGGCAATTGCCTTCCTCCTCCAGCCTCTCCTGTTGTGGACAAGGCAGGATTGGTTGAAGCCTGAACGCAGAGAGGATATTAGATAAAACATCTTGCAAAGCCAAGTGTGAAATATTAACAACAGGAGGCAATGGCTTGTGTTCATATGCAAGATCACAAATTTGGTGCTTAGAGAGCCCGAGATGTCCTTGCACACCAGAATCTCAAAGCGCTTGTGGAATGTTTCATTTAAAAACCTATTGAAGCCTACTGGAAAATTTCTATCAGTTCTGTTATTTGCTTTATCTCCTCTTACTTCGCTGTTTGTGTTCTGCAACACCAAGAAATTATGCATGAATAAAAAGGTTATTCCTTCCATTCATCTGGTCGGTTTTAAAACAATTTGTACTTGTAAAGCGGGCACTCTGAAAGTCTGTATTTTTACATGAAATTACCACAAATGTGCACACTGCATCCGAATTACCGGGTGCATTTGTACACACAATTACCCAATTTGCACAAAGAACCACAATAACCAGGCAGGCAAAATGGACACGCAGCTGTTCAGCTGAACAGAGCACTACATCTGGCACTGGGAATTTTGGTTTTAGTAGGTGAAAAAGGTCACAGTCCTGGACATGGCAGAGCTCCTTTTTATCCAGCACATGTGACACAGAGAGCAGCATGGCTTGCTGCCCTTACTCTACCTCAAACTTGCCTTGGAGGAAACCGCCTCCCATTCAACATCTACAAAAGACTCAGTTTATCCTGCAGTCCAAGCTGCCCACTAATTCCAGCTGTGACAGGGGCTGTGTGCTAAGGACATCTATTCAGCACTGACTACCAGGAATAACCATCTCTGCCACTTCAGAGTGTAATTGAGATCTACTGTCACAATCTTACATGAAAAAAGATTAATGCTCCAGAGATCCAAGCAGCAGCTAAGGAGAAACATAAGGACAGGGAGCCTAAGAGCGGATGTAGGGCTTCTTCCATCTTTGCAAGGGCTTCCGTGATAGGAACAGGGGAGGAATATGAAAAAACTCTCACTCGAAGATGTATTACCTGTAGATTTTTCACCCAAATGGCAGCTGTGGCTCTGCAAACTGCACTTCATCTTCAGCAGTTTTCCATCAACATCTCTCCTCGTCATTTTTTTCCAGGCTTAGCCAACCAGGCTGATGATGAGGGCAACCACAGCAACAAAACTACTCGTGGCAGCTGTGCAGCACCAAAGGAAAGGGACAGAACTGCAGAGTAGGCAGCTGAAACCCAATCCCCACACTTGGGGTCACCAAGAAGTCTGCAGCCATTCATCACCAAAATCCAACGCAGCACGGCAGGACAGAGCAGTTTCCAACCCTTAATGCTGCACGATGAACTGATTTCTGTCCTCACAGACTGCGGGTTAGGCAAGACAATGCTGAAGTAGGATGATGTGCAAGAGGTATATTTTCAGCTAATAATCAAGCAGTCCCTCATCTGGAGGTGCTGCATGGCCTCAGAGTGCCACTTTGTCCTTGTTGGGCTGCAAAACAGCCGCAATGCACCTGGCCAACATTAACTGGAGATGTTACATTTATGATTTTATGGCTGATATTTTCCTCTACCCTCTATCAATTGAGTTCACTGTCTGAACGATCGCATCTGTTTATGTTCCACAGACACCTGCGTATCTTGAGATGACAGCAACTCCCTGAATACTGTAATCAGTTATTTCTCAACAGAGGAATTGCCAATTTGGTAAATAAAGCTCATTACAAAAGAGCGTGGAAATGTATTGCAGTTGCCTAACAGAAAAAAATTGTCCAGTGCTGCCTGATAATCAGCCCTGGCATCATAGTCCCCCCCCAATTTAGGGCAGCTGAAATAATGACATGCAAATTACTTATGCCAAGGCAACATTAGATGGGGGCAAGAGGAAAATGAAGAAGAGACAAAATAGGTATTTTTCCTCTTTAGACCAATGATAATTTAAAATCTAGTCAGCGACAGGCCTTGCTTCTTCACATTTCCACATGCAGCATCAGAAGTCCTGCTGCTCTGCAGAACCCAGCTATCACAAGCAGATCCAGAAGCCAGCATGGCAGTCCCAGCAGAAGCCCACCCAATGCTGCCACAAACAGACCTGAGGACACAAAGTATCCTACTCTGCTTTGGAAAATCCCCCTTCCTTTGGAGATACCAAGTTTGACCTGCACAGTGATGAAGAGTTGGAATTCTTGCTAACAACAACAAGCAGGCAAAGATTGCTTCTGAGGAAGATGACAGTTGTGTCATCAGCTCTCAAAAGGAAAGAAATTTTGTTGCTTCAATGAAGATATGAAGTTCTAAGTTGCTGCCCAAAAGCAGAATATAACATAGAAAACAGTTCTCAGTTCCCCTCATTTATTTTCATAAACACTACATTAAAATCTGATGTGACCTCTAAAAATCCACGATCACATTCTTCAGAACCTGTCAGACACAGTAAGGAGGACATGAGCAGCAGAAGCTGCCAAGTGGAGGAGAGGCTTTAGGCAGAGGAAGGGAATGAAGCTACAAACTAGACTTGTTCCAGTTTTACTGACAGGTCTATCTGTTGCACCTTCCTCCAGCAGGATGAGATGAGAGAAACAGAGTTCCCACTTGGCTCCACGAGAAGGCACACAACCAAACAAGGCCAAAGTGTACAGTGGACAGCAGAGGAGGAACTGCACACAACAGCTAGAGTAAAGAAAGACAGCTAGGGCTCTGCATTCAGCAGGCAGGGTGTTTTTCAGTATGATTCACCAACGCTGATTCTCTTTGGCCAGGACTCTGCACTCTTCCAAGTACTTTCAAATAAGCCAACCTCATTCAGCCTGGGACCTAAAACAAGTTTTGTGATTTATAAACTGTGATTGGAAATGCTCCTATTCCCCATACTTGGTGGGAGTTTTCGTTGGCACTGGTAGGAGGTATAAAACAGCAATCTACAAACTCATGGGACTGGAAGTATCTCACAGAACACAGTGACCATTAAACACTTTATTACTTAGGAGAGAACCTCAGAAGGGAAGGAACATGCCTGCTGGTGTAGCCAATCAGAGCATGCTAGGAACAGCTAATCCCAACAAGCTAGCCAGGGTTATTTCTAAGTACTTCAGTCCCTTAATCCAGGAGCAAATGGACAAAAATAACAACTCTTGAAACTGAGACAGGGGTTGGTGAAACCAAAGCTAGCACAGGGTGAACCAGGCCTGCGTGGAGCATGCCTCCAAGCAACATGACGTGCTGGAGTCAAGACCATTCTTTACATTCTATTACAATACAAAAATGAAGCAACAGTGTTCCCCTCTCCTACGATCCTCTGCCTGGCTCCAGAAGCATCCACATAGACCAATACACGCAGGCCATTAAAAGAGGAATCATATTGTTGTCTTGGACCATGAAGGGCAGAAGGCACCAGTTTTGGTCAGCGTCTATCCAGAAGGATGCTGGGCTTTCCAGGGGGCAACTGTGGTCCCTTGTCCTCTGCTCATTGGTGGCTGATGTTTATCCAGAGTTAACTAAAAGCTCCTGGAAGAAAAAAAAAAAGGAGACAAAGGAAAAAGCAGCAGGTTAGTTACACAGCTGTTGACCTTGGACTATTTCTTTCAGAAACAAAGGAGCAATGCTGCATAGGGTGACAAGCTACAGAAAATTCCTCAGAAAACGTATCAGGTATTGCCTTCTGCAAAATGCAGTCAGACACTCAAGGGGACAGAGGACTGTGGAAGCAAGAGAGCAGGTCATGATATCAAAGGCAAGGCTGATTCTATGAAGAAGAATATAAGGTCAGTTGTAAACGATCAGGACTTATAAATCTGATGGCCTGCAGCAGGAGAGAGAAGCCATAGACCCAGCTGAGGCTCAGAGCAGCTGAGCAGCAGGAGTGAGCACAGCTCCACGCTAAGCCTGAGCCCCAGCAGGACATGGGAGCACTTGGATCAGCGGCTGCCAAACGCACGCCGCTCATCCCAATGTTTGGAGCAGGACCAGCATAAGAGGGGAAAGAAAATAAGAGAGCATTTCAGAGACTACCCTACTAAGAACTTTTATCTTAAGATACAAACCCTCTTAAAATGGAACACAGAGCAAAGAGTACTTACCCACATTTACAGAGCCCTTCTAAAGCCAACCACAGAAAGACAGCTGAACAGTCAGCTGCATGGGATTCCATCAGCCAGCTGTAACTGGGGCTGGATGCGTGCTTGGTTCTACTCCTTGTGTAGCAGGCATTTTTAGGAAGGAGGCTGTGGTTCCTTGAATCTGGTACACTTTGTAAAAACAGTGCTGCTACCACACATGGCAATGTCTTTTGGAAGGTGAGGGTGCTGTTTAGGCTGCTGCTGCATAGCAGGCTGATATTTGCTGCTTAACACTTGCAAAGTCAGAATGCTCAGACCACACTGACCACACACCTCCAAAGACAGCTCAGTCTCTAGAAACAATGAAACAAGAAGCTTCAAGAGATTCAAGAACTAAGAGAAAACTGTTTGCCAAATTATTTAGAAAAGCTCAGCCACAAATCTGACAAATGAACCATCAATATTACTTGACTGCCTTTAATTTCCCAGGTAATTTTTCTCACCATTAGTGACTTACAAATTTCGCACAGTGCAATACATTTTAAAAAATTCTAATAGCACTCGCACAAAATGCAATGAGCAAAGCAGCAGCAGCTCCCAATCAATTTTGCAATACAGTAATTTGCTGTATTCATACTGTAACACTTCAGTTAAGTGTCAAGGAACACTCTGCTTCATGATAAAGCCACTGTTATGACCACTCTGCAGTTAACCCCTACAGAAGACACCAAAAACTTTTCTGTAAAGCAATTTTAAAAAACCTTTGTTACACAATTTCATGTTGATAATCATAACTACATTCTTTTACTTGTCCAGGAGAAAACACAGCCAGCACTTAACCTCAGTCAATTCCTCCCAGCCCGGCCCATCCACATTCCAAGAACACATCCAGCTGGAGGCTTACAAATACTCCTTGTGCAAAAACATCAGGTTCCATCTCACACCACATGACTAAGCTTTCCCAAAATCTTTTGCAGCCATCACTGGGCCAAAAGCTGATGGGATGCCAAACAGGCTAGACACCAATTTCCTGCCGTGCTGCTCACACCAAGGGCAGTTTCTGGGAACAAAAGATGCAGGTAACAATACTATCAATCACTCTGTGCTGCTTCAAAAGAAAGAAACAAACAACAACAGGAAACCAGAGTACAGTGAACCTGTCCAGCCCCAAATCTTCTGGGGAATGTGCTGTGCAGTGCAGGCATCATTAAAACCAATAGCACTAGAGATCAGAGGCAGAGATCAGAGCTCTCCTCCTCCAGCAGTTCCTGCAGAGCATCACCCAGCTGTAGCACACCTGCACGTGGAGACTCTGAGGGCCTCCTGGCCTGTTAGCAGTTGATGGAAGAAAACACTTGTCACCATATGCACAAAATTGTTTTCACTGTTCCTGAGCCGTCAGTTCATAAACCTGTGGCTAACTACTTAAAAGCACAGTTCCATTGATTTCATGCCTCACACGCTGTGTAATAGCGTGGAAGGACGCCACATCTCCAGACTAAACCCACTCTTTGCTAAGCCAGCCGTTCACACCAGTGTTTCAACTCCAGCTAGCACTGCAGCCACATGGATCCAGACTTGGCACCCTTTGGGGTCCCTTCCAACCTGGAATCCTCCCTGCAAGATGTCCCAGGGCTGCTACAATGCTTACCTTGGACAGGGGGAGCTAAGAAGGGGAAGGAGCAGCCTTTTCTCTCCTGCACACCCTTAGCATTGCAGATATACCAGCCAGGCTGCACAAGCAACAAGCCCAGGCAGCTCGCAGCCACAAGCTGTTCCTGCATGATGGGATCCTCCCAATTAATCAAGTTGAGGCTCAGCCTGAAGTTAAGTGATGCATCACAGAGTAACCATCCTGCAGCCAGCTTTGGATGCTCTCTGCTGCAGTATTAGGTAAGAGTTCAGGATGCAAGCAGCCTTGAAGCATGCAGCATTCACTGATGAATCAGGATGGTGATGGTGCCAGTTCCCTTCATGCAGAGGGAGAGCAGATTGTTCTGAATGTTAGGTAGACACCAGGTTCTGATTGAAGAACTCCAGCCCAGCACTACCACCTACAAGAACTGTGTCTTTAGCATGGGGTTCGAGGCAATCCATCACAGCTGTGTCCCAGTGCAGGAGCTCGGCATCCTCTCCATGCTCCATGCCTTGGCTCCAGGTGGAACCCACGAACTCCAGGCCATAAGGAACCTCTTCTCTCTGGGTTTGCCAGATGCAGTCTGCCAAGCCCCAGCTGGACCAAGATGTATTTATTTAACCAGCCTTTAGTCTCACAGGGCTAAACCCTGCAAGTGTCCTCCAGTGAATGCCTTACCTTTGTTCCTTCAAGCAGTCACACCATGGTGCTCACACATCTGGGCACTACATAGCCATGAAGAAATCAGAGAGCAGACCCCCATGATAAATGAGTCGGTGCATTTGGAATGTCAGTGACAAAGTAGAAATTAATCTCCATAGTTCCCAGCTCTGTGCCATGCACAGGCAGTTTTCTCAAACCCAGAAGACCTGTGGGCACGTGGCAGACTTCAGTAACGTGACCGAGTCACTTCTTCATCTGTTCGTCTGCAAAGAGGCACTAACAAACTACAGAAATCCTCACCTGTCCTAAGATGGGTGTTCAAGGCCTTTCTGCTGGATAAGGCATTTGTTGTGGGGCTATTAGCAGCCCAGAGCATTGTAAGGGACATTTGAGTCACTCCGGTTTGATGTATGCTGTAGGTATTTTTTGGTTATGTGCAATTTGTTCTGTTACATTCAGGGTATTGGCTGTTCTGCTGAGCAGCTGTGCTGACTAATGGATCGTAGCACTTCTGTGCCATACAGTTATTGCACAGAAAAGCCTCTCTGTCTCCCTCATCCTTCAGAAGTCCAACAGTTGCTGTCCTTGAGTTTGGAATACGAAGGGGCCGGAGCATGCCTGGCAGCAACAAAAAGCATTAATTCAAAATGCTATTAAAAGAGTTTTGTTGTCCCTCTTCTCCGTGTTAACAGCTTTGCAGAGCAGAGGAGCTCACCCGGTGACTTCTCAGCTGCTTCCCCGGGACAGTGCTCTCAGAGCAGGGCAGCAGAACAGCACTTGCAGCAAACACCCGGAATGTGCTGTCAAACACATTGCCCTGCACTGCCAGAACACTGAGCTATTTACCAGCACAACCAATCCTCACCTGTTTGTTCATGCATTCTAACATTGATTTCCTCCAGACAGTTGTTCTAACTCGGAGAGAGCTCCCATCATTAGCCTTGCTTCACAGGAAATGCTTTGCCACTGACTGAGCAGCTCTGCAGTCCCCAAGCAGCACGAAGCCCCTGGCTGAGCTGGGAGCCCCAGACCCACAGCGGGGAGCAGGAGGCCACGCTCAGCTCTTTTCATCTGGGACACGTGCTGGAAAATGGTAGGGCCAGGAGGAACAAACAGGGCTCTGCAGAGGGTTGCCACTGAAAGGATGGCTGATTAATTAATTGGAGTGCAAACCGAGGACGGGTTTTGTTCAATCGATGTTAATTGCATTTAATCTTATTCTTGCTGTTAAGAAAAGCCATTGGGCCGGGCTAGTGCCTGACATGCAGCTTTCACCCACACTTGGGAGGCGAGGCAGGAGGGGAAAAGTAATGGAAAGAAAGGAAATAACCCTTCCTCACCCCTTCTGCACCACTGCACAACTTCATTGGGTCTGTTCCATTATTTAAACAATTTTTGTTTTCCAATGAAATTACACAGGAGCTCTAAAGGACAAAAATTGGACGTGGAGCATTTCACCACTAGTTGTTCTGGCTCTCCTGGGTACTGGCTCAGAGCTTTGTAAACCCACAGAGCCGTGGCTATCCAGCTGCTGCAAAGGACTGAAATTAAGAAAATCACCTGCATGAAGCAGTGCCTGCTCTGGCCCCGGCTGCTCCCAGCACACCTGCAGCTGCTGCCTGCTTCTCCCACCAGATCAGCCAGAGCATCTCTCAGCTTGCTGCTGATCACAGCTTCACGTACGAAACCGTGCTGAACTCTGCCTTCCTCTAACACAAAATCATTAAGGTCAGAAAAGATCTCTAAGATCACTAAGTCCAACCCAACCCACCTGCACCATGCCCACTGACCCTCAGTGCCACACCTCCACAGTTCCTGAGCACCTCTGAAGACAGTCACCCCAGCCCTGTGCTGCAGTTTATCAGCGGTTTTCTTTATCCCTTGACAAGCATTAGTGCCACTGCCTCTTTCCAAGTAAAGAGGACGTATCACAAGTGCTGTGAAGGACTGGCTGAGCATTAAGTGGTCTGAAATGGCTTTACTAGACTTGGTCAAGATTGCTTTAAAATCATTTCCCTTTAGGACTGTGACCCTCTTTCTTTACAGCCAGCATAATGATTCTACCTCAGAGGACGGTAATTGCATCCCGCTATCTATACGCATCAGAAGCCAGAGGCTGCAAACACAGCACAGCACCTTTCTGGAGCAAG